AATGGAATTGCTCTAGCCCTTCCTTCTGGACTGGCTTAAGATGTTACCATAGCTCAGCGTTATGGCTGGAGAGGCAGGACGCAGTTACATCTTGAACTGCTAGACTACTTTTTGATATCATTTTGCATCTTGTGACCTGTGAAACTGCTTTGAAGAAACTGACTGTGCACAAGCAGCAATTTAAGCATAATTAGGTTACTCCTGGACTGGCCCTGAAATAAGTTCTTGTTTCCTGTCAATGTTTTCTTCTTTGCTTTTGAGTGAATTTCATTTTTTGTAACTATAGATACATGAGAATGAGAGCTTGAAAATATGGAAAAAGCCTACAACCTCAGTTACATGTCACAGCAGCTTTTTCTACAGTAGTGCGAGTACTGTTTATCCATACCGTAGTCAAGCTGCTATTTTAAATTCTCAGGTTCTCATTTCACTTGTGGATTTACACAAACAAATCTTGCATTAGATAATTCATGAAGTTGTGCGTTAGAAGAGGTCAGCATTTGGTGGCAAGTGTTAGTGAAGAGTTATATATACTGTCAGTATTACATCTGTGTGAAAGGTAACTTTTATTTTCTATCCATCTAGCGTAATCATTTCTCCTCTGGGCTTTGATTTAGATAAAAAGATTGTAGACAAGTGAGCATGTTAGGTCAGTTGTAACAGATGGTTGTAGTAAAAAAAAAAAAAATACTACTGTGAAAGAGACTTAACCTGAAGCATTAGCAACTCCTTTAAATATAAGAATGAGCTCGTAGTTAAAATATTTGACAAAAAAGGAGTTCATTTGGCAACTAACCTTTAACGGAATGTTAAACAAGTCAATAGAGGAAGTTCTTAGCTGGGAAAGTGATTATTCATTGTTATCCATCAAAATAATTACCCATTAACTAAGATAAGGACCCTAGGGAATTCCAAGGGCTTGTTCAGGAAACGATCTGTCAGGCTGGAGCAGGCTGTTTATGAGAGTTGGAACACTTCCTGGGAAGAGGAAGTAACCTCACGCCGGTTTGTAGCGGACCGTCACGCTGCCTCACGCAGTGAACATCATGAATGGGGTCTAGCAGACATACTGAATTTCCCGTGGTGGGGAAGATGCTGCTTGCTGGGATTCAGACATGAGCCGCTTCCACTGGGGCATGAGGTTCTGCACGGTGGCAATCTTGGGATACGAGACAGCATGTGTGCCTCTGCTCTGGGTGAGCTGGCCCTCTTATGTGGAGTAGCCCATCTCACATTTACTTCAAGAAGCTGAACTGTTGGAGTTGCATGCAGGCAACTGCTGTTGGGCACCTGGTATGCCGAAACTTACTTCAGTGTTAAAATGATACAGGTCAGCTTTAGCACTCTGTGTCAAGATCCCTAAGTTCTAGTCAGCAAGCCCTAAATCTGGCAATAACTTGACATTTTCATTCAGGTATAATTTCCTGCCTCCATGCATAATTGGTCCTGTAGAAAGTCTGAGGTGTCATTTATAGGTTGAAATAAGGCTAAGGATTAATATTTGGAGGGAATTGGATATAGTGCTCTGGAATGGGCTGGAGATTTCAGATGACGTAGGAGTAAAGTTATCTACTTGTATACCTCTGCATACTAGAGGAGGAACAGCATGCTGTTAGTGGTGGGTGGGAACACTTTTCCCCTTGGGGTTCTCATTCCTTAGTTTGCTGTGCTTGGAACTACAGAGCAAAAGTCAAGGTATGTGTTGCAAACTGTTCTCTTGGAGGGAGAAAGCAAAGGACAATGTGTGAGTCCCAGCGCAGGGGGGGAACAGGAAACAGTGTCAGGTGTCTGAATCATAGAATGATTTGGGTTGGAAGGGACCTTAAAGATCATCTAGTTCCAGCCCCCCTGCCATGGGCAGGGACACCTTCCACTGGACCAGGTTGCTCAAAGCCCCATCCAGCCTGGCCTCGAATACATCAAAACAGTGAACTTTCTGGAAAAGAGTCAGGTTATGTAACTGCAAAATCAGATCCTGGGACCCAGCTTAAGAAAAACTCAAGTGTCTCAGAGCAGCTTCGTGCTTGTCGTGCTCAAATGTAGGTGTGTTGGCCCAAACAACCATGACTCTAAAGGACCGGTTTTACAAACGAAAGCTAAACTTCATTAGGACAGTTGTATTTACAAATTAAGCAGATCACAGTATTGCGGTGTAGGTTCGATTTGAAGAGGACACAAAAATCTTGCCTTTACAGCTTTTAGATGTTCTGAAACTAAGCCAAAGTTGTTCTTCAGAGTAAGACAAATTTAAAGGGAATTTGGGAGTTGGGAAGTTACCAAAAAGGAAACTTGTGGTTTTTTTCAGCTGTGCACTCAAAATAGTGTCATCTTCACCGTTTCAACTCTTCCTGATTCCCTTTCCCTTGGAGATGTCTTTTGACGGAGCACACTTGGCTGTGTGTCGCTTCTCTTGAACCTTTTACTACGTAGCATTTTTTTTTTGTAAGCTCTTTTTTGTTTCTATTCTACTATCACTAGTGGTATCCTCCGGCTTTTAGTGTGGGGTTAATGGTTTTCTACATTTGCATGAGATGCTTGAGGACCAGCTGTTAGATGGTAATATAGCTGGTTAAAATGTGAAAATGTGCAATGGCGTGGTGAGGTTTTAGTATTGGGGTGACTTCCATGCTTTATGACTCAAAAACATTGGGCCGCTTTAAATTTGTGTGCAGTACAGTGAGGTATTTTTAAATAACTGTGCTGTCAGGAATTTGCTTACTGGAAAGGGTAGGTCTTCCTATCCTTTCAGCTCAGACAATATGAACTTAAACCTTTCAAGTTTTTGGTTCTGGGTGCATTTCCATGCTGATCACGTTGCTGGCATGAGTGCAATCTGTGGTCAGTGGGATGACTCTCCTCAAGCTGAAAAGCAAGCTGATAGGACGCTGCTGTGTTTTACAGCTGAGCATTTGGTCATGCATGGTAGGTTTATACAGTTTTAAATATAGTGATCTGATACTAGTTCTATCCCTTGGTAGTTGTTCCTCAGCACCTTTTTGCTGGGAAGGTGCTGCTGTGATGATTAGGATTCAGACTAACTAAGGTATATTTCCTCTTCATTTTAGCCTTCCCTACTGCCAGAAAATTTGCAGGATCTTGGGTGAAGGTGGGAAGGGCTTTGAAGGGAGAGGGTAATAATGCGGTAATAGTGCAGGTATCTTTTTTTTTTTTATTTTGAGACTGTTCTTCCTTTCTGATGGATGCTAATGCACTTGATACGGATTAGCAACAGCACTCCGCTTCTGACTCTTACCTGTAGTATTGGAGAAGTTCAAGAGGTGGGAATGCATATGTTATCATCTCAAGTCTCTTGAGAGTAGTGGTAGTCTGAAGAAGCTGCTTCAGAGCTTTGCAGTCTGTCTCATCTGCCACACAGCATGATTTGCGTTGGACCAGATGTTGCTTAAGGGTCTGTGTGACTTGACACAGATGTTATGGAAGAGTCTGGAACAGGGCATCAAAAGTAGAGGGGTTAAAGCATAATTCTGGATGAGAGGACTGTGTCATGTTAATATTACATTCCAAAGCAGTGAAGAGGCAGAGCCAATGTTTTAAATTAATGCCTGTGTTCTGGAATCATTTACTTCATCCACATTATCATGCACTCACTTGTGCTTTGATAAATAGCGCTCTCATTCTCATCCAGCAGAAATGGCAGGTTTATTTAATGAAGCATGAAGTAAATCATCAGGGGGAATCAAGAGGAAGGCGGATTATTGATGACTCCCTTCCCTAATGTCCCCACTTCCCTCTATATGAAAGGAGAGGGAGATCTAGCAAGGATATTTTGCCAGCATAGTTATGTTCATTGGGAGTCTTGATTTTCATTGGGGAAGGGTATCTGGTTTCTCCTTCTTTTCAGTCAGGGCTTAGTGTATAAGCATCTCTTGGGTGGTGGCTGATTTCTTGATTGACTGACTTGTCTAACACTGAAGAGGGCCAAATCAGGACTTTGGAAGCTCATCTTCAAAGCATAGAACATCTTTCTTTGACGTAGCCAAGGCATATGAACTAAGCTGAGGTTTTCATGAAGCAAATGCCAGGTACTTTCTTGCCATGGGAAAAACTTGTCCTGGGTGGTGCTCTAACTGCTGCTTGGTGGGCAGTGATGAGTTTACTTCATAGAAAACTAAATCTCTTGGTCTTTACTTTGTTTGCTTTGAAGGACAACGCTCATTAGTCACTTAAAGAAAAAATACCCTTGTCTTTTTGGTGGTGAAAAAGTGTTTGGCCATCTACCCACAGCAGTAGTGTTCTAACTGTGTAATCTGACCTGCATGCTATCAGTAAAGGCACTCAGCAAAGTCTCTGGTCAGCTGCTACATTGAGGTTCATCGGGTTTAGGTTAACAGGGCAATTGTTTACGAAAAAAAAAGAAGTGGGGAAGCTGCATGAAGGGTGAATTCTCTTCAAAAGAGGCTGGAAGCCCCTTTCAGTGTGCTGTGTTTCTGCTTTGTCCAGGTTTCGAGGGAAGTGTCTGTGGACACAACGTTGATGACTGCCCAAATCACAACTGCCAGAATGGGGGTATATGCGTGGACGGTGTGAACACATACAATTGCCGCTGCCCACCACAATGGACAGGTACGTACTATGGAAAACATTCCTGTATGGGCTGGGCACACTCTACGGAATGAAATGCAGGACTTCTGGCCTTCACGCAGTGTACAACTGGAGTTGTATACGGCTGAATGCAGCTCACATCTGTGACTTGTTCTGCAGTCTGGGGGGAGATGTCAGTAGAACCCTTAAAAGAAAATTGTTTGCATCAAAGCCACCGCAATGGAGGGCAGTTTCCCATTGCATCAGGTGGTATTACTGGCTTCTGTGTGCACGGGTTTGACAGACAGGTACTGTGATTCTTGAGCTGTGATACAGTGTGACTATCAGAGTTGCACTTCTGCTTGTATGGATTCCTTTGTAAGAGGATATGTGTTTTACAAAAGTACAAAGCATGGCTTTGCTATTACAGGTGTGTGCATTAACAGTGCGTTGCTGATACATCTTGGGGGAATTTTTAATCTGGGATAACAATCCCCATGTTGATTACAGTAACACTGCTAAAGAATAGGGCAAATTTGAAAGAAGGCATAGGTGGGAGAAAGGGAGGGAAGAGAAAAAGTGTATGTATGGGAAGCTTATGTTTTTGCTACTGTTATTTTCCTGCTGTGACTGATTTTTATCTGGAGTTCTTTGACTAGCAAAGCTACTTTTGCTTCAAAAATGAGTCTGCTTTACTGTGAGCCTGTAAGGGGAAAAAGCGTGAATTTCAAGAAAGTGTTATGCATGATGTAGGGAAGCAGCTTACAGGAAATTCAGTGTCATCTTTAGTCACAGAATGTCTCCATACCTCAAAAATAAACAAATACCTCCGGTTCTGGGGTTTTTTTTTTTTTGAGTCATACTAGTCATTCTTAGCTGGCACACTTTTTCAGCTGAGTATAGTTTTGCCCTTCTTTCAAAATCATAAGTAGAAAAACAGCCCTAGAACTGGAAAACTGAGGTATGGACTCAGTTTGCATTTTTCCCTTTCATAAAGTAGATTGGGATACTTGTTTTGGAACTAAGCTTGAACTAGCTCCTCAGGTTCTGAAGAAGCTTTAGCACACTTTTCTCTGTATCTAGAAAATACTGTGTTTGAAACCAGAACATCTGTAGTGATTGGTCGTTCAGACAAATGCACTGTGAGGAGTTTGACTACTAGAGACCAGAGGTTTCATGTTGTTCTAGCTTTTTTCCTCAGAGTGCATCATTCTTATTATAAACTGGTTGTCATTAACTGCAAAGGAGGCTGCCGGTTAAGAACCCTCATTAACTTTAAAAAATTATGTATTCTTAAATGAAGTTAAAATGACATAAGAATGAAATGCATGACTGCTTGCATAGACCTTTGAAACTAGCTGTAAATAGGAGAAAATGAGTCCTCCCCTTAATGAGTAAGTACCCTTGCTTCTATACCGCTTCTCTATGTCCTTAAAGCCCACAGAAAGTGAAACTTGCAAAGGAAAACATGAAGAGAGCTTGGGTGTGAAGCCAAGAACCCTTCAGTGACCCCTAAAATCCTGCTCCATGCCGCAGAAATTATAAACCTTGTTATGGCTTCTAGTGTCTGTCATGAGTAAATTAATCTCAGGCTTATTCCTGAAGCATAGAGGATATGATGGATCATGAGTGTGTACAGTGTGAGTATATAATCAACAGGGGATTATTTTGCTTTGTAGAGGCATTGTAAACTTAGCTTGGCTTACAGGATTTGAGTGGATGGCTGCTGTCAACTAGGGATGACTTCTGCAACTCACCTGGAAGAGACCTTGGTGGTAATAGGCTGTAATTCTGTTTGGTTTGTGGTAGATTGTCTCTCTGATTAACCATTGAAGTTCTTTGTAATGCAGTTGTGGTGGTTCTGTCTCTGAACCTCTTACGGTTCTCTGACCGACTAGCATTGGGAAAAATCATTAGACCCGTGCTGTGGCCTAGTGTTGTGCCATCTTTCTTCTGGGTGGACAGTCTCTCCAGAAAACCTTGTGTGCATGAAGGATGCTTCCCTTCGGTGAAACCCTGGAGAAAGGAACTCCCTAAGGCTTATGTTCCCATGGCTTTCTAAAACAATTTAGTGGAATGGGCTTTCTGAGAATTTTCTTTGTGGTGAAGTTAAGTTATCAGTGCAGTTTTAGATGATGGCTTCTCAAGGCCATTGACTTTCTAGACTTAAGGAATCAAGCCGGTTTGGAACTAAAACTGGTCTCAATGCTTAGGAAACAGCAGCTTGGCTGTTTGAACAATGAAAGTTAGCACCTTTGGGGACCTGAACTGTCTTGTCTGAAATGAACAGTGCCAGTTTCGGTGTTCAGACTAAAAAACATGAGTAACTTCAGAAGTAGCTGTGCATATTCATTTTGGCATGTGTTTGACACATGTAGGGCAGTAGCTCTGTGCATCCACAGGATGTCTTAGCGATAGCCATTCGTCTGCAGTGTAACTGCTGATCTGAGTGTCTCTGGAGGCTGAAGGCTCATGATGGCAATGGAAGGCTGTGTTTGGGGCCTTCTGTACGTTGCTTTGTTTGAAAGCCTGTGCAGTGAAAAGCTCTTGGCCAGCTGGCCTTTAAGAATTCATTTATTATATCTGTAATATTCCTTTTGCCCAATAAATGTGTGTGCAAGTGATGTCCCATGATGCCCTGAAATCCTGTCCAGCTCCACAGTGAATGCAGCCATGTGGTGCAAGTGGACAAATGTCTTGCAAGTCACCTGAATGCTTCTTGTTCTGATGAGGTCCTGAAGCTCTGCCCAGCAGTGACTCTGCTGTGTCATCTCAGTAGCATTTTCTTAACAGAAGCTTGTTTCTCTGAATGGACTTCAATCTCTTTCCTGCATCTTCATAGAGACCAAGAAGGTGCAGGATGTCCAGCTTGGAGATGCGAGGTGTGACACTGGGGCAGCGCACAAAATAGGGAAGGTAGATGGAGGACTGCTAGAATAGTTTGGAGAGGGATGATTTTTTTCAAGATTAAACTGTAGCTGATGCTGACAGGAGTAAACTACAATAAAAAATGAGTTACTCGGCAATAAGGAAATGTTGTATAAGTGCAGGTCCATCCTTTGCACAAACATGGTTTATAACATTGTAAATCATCTCTAAGGTAAGTGAAGAGGGAAGAGCTGAGCAAACAACTCTTTCGGAGTCTGTCCTGATAAATGCTTATAGCCCAACAGCATGGAACTGTGAGAGTGAACACTTCAGGAAATCAAAAGCTTTAGGTTAGAGGACATTGTGTACAGCTTAAAAAAAAAAAATAAGGCCCAAACACAAGTTTGTAAGTAAATGTCAACCAAAACCAAAAGGATGTTAAATTTTTTAAAAACACTTAGTGTAGATGTGCTGTCTTCATAACAGTTCTTCTGCAGTTTCTTCTTTCAAATACTTGTCAAGTAATCTTGGAGAAGTTTAAATTGGTCTGTTTGCAGTTTTAGTCTGTATTTAATCTTCTGGCTGTGGATGATGATCTAGCACGTTTGTTAATGTAGTTTGTGCTTCATGGCATGGAGAAACCAGTCCCATTCCTTGCTAGAAGAATCAAGAAGCTGTACTGCATCCGATGAAGAATAGTTTTGTGTAAAGTAATATTGAAGCATCCTTTACTGAAACAGAATCTGTCCCAATTCCTTTTGGTAACCATCTGCCTCTTGTAATTCCCTGACAGGTGGTAGGCTGGACTACATAACTATGCATTTTTTTTTTTTTAAATGTTTTTTCTGCTTGCTACTAGAATCTAGCTTTTAAGAGACTGTTTGCTTTTGGTCTAATTTGCTACTCCTCAAACTGAGCTCACTGCTCCTTTTTTGTTGAAGCGCATGCCTTTTCTTTCTCATATTGCTGCTTTTCCCGGAAAGATAAAATCTTGCCTTTCAGAAACAATGATGAGAAATTCCTGC